CCATGATCTGGTAATGGGATTGCAGGTCTGGCAGTTACTTAATAGTTATCCAACTTTTATTTAACCTTATCTCCAACAACCTTAAAGATAACTACCTAAAAATCCTCAATTTCCCATTTTAAATCAAACTTAAACTACCAGATCCAATCTTATCTTCTGCCACCTAAGATCCAACCTCCTTGGAAATCCGTCTGGGCCGTTAAATTGTAATCCAGCCTATTGATTTTCTTGATAATTGGGCTTTACCTTGACACGTGGCCTTACCCTATTGGTTTATTTTAGGTGTAAACACTAATATGTTAGCTATTTTGGACCACTTTTTGTAAAAAGTGACGGAATAAGAGGGAAATTTAGTAGGTGTATTTGATTAAATAATAGTAGAAGATAGGTAGTGAAGAGAATTTAGAGAGAAGGAACAACAACAATAACAAGGAATGAATATAATGTAGAGAAAAGGAAGAAGAAAAAACTATGAATAAAACCTAGATAGAAGATTTGGTGTCAAACAAGGAATCTGATACTAGATATATAACAATGAATGGTCACCAATGACTCAATAATGTTGACGGGCAAAATAGATGAAGTTACCATCTACTTAAATGAGATGAGATTGATCATCAAGATCTGTGTAAAAATTGATTAGGTTGAAAGGAATTGATTAAGCATGGGAAAGTAGTAGGCGCTTTATATTTTTCATAAATTTTAAGGATTTTTTAATTTTATATAAAAAATAATAATTTTCAAAGAAAATAAAATAAACGAAAGAAATACTTCAATAAAAAAAAAAAATAAACCCAGTCATTGTCCCTTTTTTTTTCGTTTCTATTTTTTCTCATTTTTGTTTTCGGTTTCTACCTTTTTTTTCTTCCATTTCTAGTTTTGTTTTTCTTTTTTTTTAATCTAATGCCTTTAGAAAAGAATTGCAAATCCTAAAAAAAACTTTTGGTAGAAAAAACAAAATTAACTTTCTAAAAAAAATGCTGTCCATTATTTTAGATTCCCAGAGCACAAAACTATTTCATTAATACCCATATCATCACCCGAGCAGGAACTTCCCAATGATCCCAAATGATAACCAAGTTCAGGGGAACAAAAACAGTGACTAAACTTAACATGATGGCAATCAGTTTTATTAAACTACTCTGATTCAACAAAAACAGCCATGAAACAGAGGACGAACAGAACAGGAAAAAAAAAAAAAAAAGAAACAAATGAAGAAAGAAAATATGTACGCAACAAGAATGCACCCAATAAAAATCTTCTCAAACCCAACATATTAATATGGCAACTAAGAAACAAAAGAAGCGAAGAAAAAAAAATAGATACAAAAAATTGAGATTTAAGATCCGAATTTTTCCATTTTCTCAGAAAAAGACACACCTGAAATGGAGAAAAGCTAATTTATTTATTTGCTGTAAATTTCAAAATACAAGATTTTCTCCTTCCTTTGCTTCACACTTTCTCTGCCGACTCTTCAATTTCTCCCCCTTCTCCGTCAACTTTCGAATGCCCTCTAAACCCGAAAGCTCCCTTTTTATAAACAAAGGGGAAAACTCAATCCTAAAGTGTTTTTACTATTCAATCCAAATTTCTAAGATAACAATTCAATCTTATTTAAAATGAGATTTCTTTTTTCCCACATCTACCCCTTTTTAGAAATAATATCATTGTAATCCTTTATTTTAGCGGGTAGTTAACATTACCAATTTACTACTGTTTCTCTATCGTTAGATATTTTTATAAAGGTTAAATTTTAATTTTGATTCTTAAATTTTAAAATTTTGTATAAGTAAATTAATTAAAAAATTAATTAAATCCTAAACAAATTTAA